ACCCGCGGTCGACTACGTGGGAGTCCAGCGACATAGCCATTACGCTAACTGCTGGTTCCCAGATTAGTTTATTTTTAACACCCATTGGGGACCAGCAGTTAGCGTAATGGCTATGTCGCTGGACTCCCACGTAGTCGACCGCGGTTCGTGTCCCGGACCCGGCGGCTTAAAACTCACGCCGGGCGCGTGTGCGTGCGTGCCCAAGATCCCGAGAGGAGAATGGAGGAGAAGGGATTGCGGTGTGGCCATCCCCCCTGGGGGGTGATTTCTCACTTTCTGTCTCTATGTCTCTCTCTGTCTGTCTGGCGAGCGCACGCGCCCTACAGTGAAAACCTCTCCAAAAAAAAAAAAAAGAAAGAATCGAGGGATCTGAACCTTAGAGAATAGGGCGACCACTCTGGTCCAAGGTCTCTTGGTAAGGAAGTGATGAGATTAGGTGCGTGTCTGTGGCTTCCTGACCCCATGTCTGTGTTCTTAGCCAGGGGTCATTAGCCGTGTTCCTTGAGCCAAATCTGGCCTGCCACCTCCTCACATTGAGAGTTAGGCTTGAACATAGGAACAGGAGGAGAGGGCACCTGAGCTTCCCACCTGGAGCACGGCCATGTCCATTTGTTTATGTATTGATGTGGCTGCTTCTTGCTGCTCTTGTCAAATTGAGTAGTTGTGAAGGAGATCATCCACGGGGTCTTCAGAAAGCTCATGGGACGTGCATATTGTGAAAAATCCTTACCTGAGTTTCAGATTATTTTGCACCAAAATAAACTCATAGGGTTTTTTTGTTTTTTGTGGGGTTTTTTTGTATTTATTTTTTTTTGCCAAAAGGTGTATGTGTGCTCGCACAACAGAATTGCACACATGTGTGCATCTCACAACGGGGACTGGTCATGCTGCAGTCTTTTTTCTCTGCAGTTCTCCACTCTGTCAGGATCCTGGGCATACACACATATGCCTCGCATGTTTTTCAGGCTACCACGGTCAGGATTTAAATTGCAGTCAGACATATGGGGTGCACCTCTGTCTGCATAGTACTTAAGTGCTGTGCCCCGGTTCAATTCCATGGACTTTTTGTAGCTCCCGCATACAAACTGCAAAGCCTGAATATTTAGTATGTGGTTCTTTATGGAAAAGATTACCATCCTCCGCTCTTAACTGTCACCTTGCGCTCTGGCCTCTTCACGGTAGAACAGTCTGTTTCTGGAACTACATGGATGTATGAGTATGATTTCAGGTGGAAATGACCTTGGGCTTACAGTGCATGGTTCTCTCTCATTTCAGAACGGAAGCTTTCTGGGTTCAGTAGGTGCACTCGGATTTTTTTGTTTAGTATGCAAAATGCTTTTTTTTTTTTTTTTTTTTTTATGCCCCTGGAAAGCAGCTGGGTACTCCCTTTATTTTTTTGCTGGCTGCCCTTGCCAAGCCGGTTTGACTAGCTTTTCCCAATATGGTGAAGCAGCTTCTGTCTAGGAAAGGGAGAACCAGCATCTAGGGGTCAAGTCTGGTTTGGGCAGAATTGAAGCCAGCTGCAGACATGTTCACTCTGTACCCTGTCATTCCCTGAGCTTCAAGAGATGTTAGGAGTAGAAGAGGTGCTAGCTAGGGTTCAGTTTGCCATGAACAGTTAGGCTAGATCCCCTTACTCCACTGGGAGAAGCCTAGAAACTTCCCTGTTGATTGTTTCTATCAATTGGTAAAGATCTCTGTATTCCTTTTCTTCAGCCCTTGGCCTGCTACATACTTCCCAGGATCAGGGCTTGGGGAAAGGTGGTTGGGTCAGTCTTACCTAAGCTAGTGAGTGGTTACCAAAGTTTTTATGGTTACATTTTAATAATAGAAACTTTTTTTTTTTTAAACTATCCTCTCAGTGTATTCATTTTTCTGTAATTTAAAATTATAGACATGTACTATTGTTACTAAAGTATATACATTATAAAACATGTAAAAGAATTTTTAAAAGGCATAATAAAAAGTAGAATTATAATCATTTCTTCATATATTCTGATACAGCCTGTAGGAAACCATTGTTCTAGTTAAGCCATCTTGTTCATACCGCAAGTGTTACCTGTTAGCTCTTATTTCCAGAAACCTTGGATTTTTTTAATACACATCTTAAAATCAATTTGTAATCCCATGAATTATCTGTGACTACATTCTTTTTTTTTTTTTTTTTTTTTTTTTTTTTTCTGAGAGGTTTTTGCTACAGGGCGTGTGCACTTGCCAAAGAGACAGAAAGTGAGAAATCACCCCCCCCAAGGGGATGGCCACGCCACAGTCCCTTCTCCTCTACCCTCCTTGGGATCTTGGGCACGAATACACACGTGCTCAGCATGAGTTTAAGCCACTGGGTCCGGGACTCGAACTGCAGTCAACTACATGGGAGTCCGGCAACATAGCCATTACACTAACAGCTGGTCCCCCATTCTTTAAAAGTCTTTATAACTTCATAAATAAGGCAAAAGTCCTTTGGTCCACCAGCTCCAAACCCAGTTGCTTATTTAGGATAATTTTTTCTCTCTTTTTTTCTTTTTCAATAAACAATTTTTTCTGCAGCTTGCTTTTTACATTCAGTAGTGTTTTTAAGATCCAGCTGTATTGCTCCATGCAGATCTTGTGCCTTACTTTTGACTGATACCTGGCATATTATGTCCAATTTTCTTTTCCTTTCCCCTTAGAGAGGCATTTATACACAGGGTTACAGTGAACACCCTTGTATAAGATTCCTAGGACACATGCCTCTGTTTCTCTGGTCATAGGTGACTGGATTTTTATCTTTTGGACAAAAGAATTGGAACTTACTTTAGAAGAAAAGTAGACTAGTGAGGTAGAAGATGTGTTAATTTTTACCAAATATATTCATCCAGCTTATTAAAGGGACAAAATAAAAAGTAGAATTCTAGGTAGTTGATCATTTGGAATAAAGATAACTGACTCCAGTTTCTGTGTTCTAGTTTGCACAAAGAAACCAATTACATATATTTTCCTGTGCAGTGAGTCCTGTGAAGGCCTGTTACAATGCATTGTATTTTTCTCATCTTCCTCTCCTGCCACATCATCCCCATGCAGTCCCCTCTCAACACATGTATCAGTGGGCCAGCTGCCCAAAGGCCTCCGTCCTCTGACCCTGTTCCCATCTCCTCATTACATCAGCAAGGAATAAATCAGGACCATCTATCTGGGGGAAAGCAGACAGAGATGGCATGGGGAACCAGCAGTTAGCGTAATGGCTATGTCGCTGGACTCCCACGTAGTCGACGGTGGTTCGCGTCCCGGACCCAGTGGCTTAAAACTCATGCTGGGCGCGTGTGCGTGCGTGCCCAAGATCCCGAGAGGAGAATGGAGGAGAAGGGATTGCGGTGTGACCATCCCCCCTGGGGGGTGATTTCTTGCTTTCTGTCTATGTTTCTCTCTGTCTGGTGAGCGCACGCACCCTATAGTAAAAACCTCTCAAAAAAAAGGAAGGGAGGGAGAGAGAGAGAGAGAGAGAGAAAGAGAAAGAAAGAAAGAAAGAAAGAAAGAAAGAAAGAAAGAAAGAAAGAAAGAAAGAAAGAAAGAAAGAAAGAGATGGCGTGTTAGAGGGTCCCTACAGGGCCCAGTCAGGACTGGCTTGGATGTGCCCCCCTGAAAAATATAAACTGTAAGAAAAAGGATCACATCAGTCCCCAGTGCCCAGAACTGTCACAGAGAAACATGAAAAGGCAGAAGCAGAAGGACCATACTTTCCTCTCTAGCCCTGTCTTACTGCACAGACTGGGGGAGGGGGAAAGGGTGAAATCATAATTAACCTCTTCAGAATTAAAGGGTATGCTCTTTAAGGAATCTGTAAAACGGAAACTACATCTCATCCTTTTTTGTACTTCAGTGAAACCTCTGGTAATTCATCCCCGTTGTTGCTTTACAGCATCAGTTTTGGGTCCCATGACACCTGCTTTTCAAGATTGACTGTTCAGAGCTTGGAGAGTGGCCCACTCCATACCCCATTATCAAAACAGACTCAAGACTGTTAGGAGTGAGAGTAAGCAGTCAGAACCCAGAGCTCATGCACCACTTCCTGGCCCTGCTTGTAGAAAGCCAGTACATACAGCAGGTGTATGTAGGGGGAGGGTCAGTCAGGTCAAGGGCATCCTAGCCAGCCCGTCCGTCACCCTTCACACCTGTCTGAGATCCCAGGGTTGCACTGGAGTAGCAGAGTGTGTGTAGACCCCCTTCTGCTCACTCAGCCACTTGATCCAGCAGGATCATATTTCTGCTTTCAGCCTCTCTCAATCTGTTTTTCTTCTTGCTTATTGAATGGTGATGCTTTCATAGCTAATAAAATGGGGAGAAGTCATTGAGAAGTGGCATCAGGCCTCTGCAAGATGGATGGTCTCCCTGGCGCAGTGGTGGCAGCTCTGTGGGTAACCTCAGGAGCTCATGTCCACTTTGTGCAGGAAGTGACAATAATGTAACCAGCCAGAAAACAGAAAGAATAAAGAGAAGATCAGCATTTTCGATTTTTTATTTATTTTTAGAGAGATTGTTGCTATAGGGTGCATGCACTCACTAGAGAGACAGAAAGCCAGAAAGCGAGAAATCACCTCCTGGGGGCGTGGCCACGCCGCAATCCCTTCTTCTTTCTCCTCTCAGGATTTTAGGCATGCACACATATGCACTAGGCATGCGTTTTCAGCTGCCGGGTCCAGGGTTTGAACTGCGGTTGACTACATGGGAGTCCAGCAATGTAACCATTATTCCATATGCTGGTCCCAGAAGTCTGTATTTTTAATGAGCTCTCTCAGGTGATTCTGGATCTATCGGGCAGCAAACCATCCTGCCCTTGGCCTTTGAGGTCCCTTCCAGCTCTTACATTCTCCATGTTGAAATCCATGTGTGAGTGAGATGGCACAGGTAAGCGGCCTCTGAAAGGCGGCCCTTGTCAAAACAGATCTGTAACCTGACGGGAGGAATATGGCATAAGCAGCCACTCGTCTCTGCAGCCATGTGGGTGACACACATTGTTTAATAATGTATTGTTAGGTCCAGAATGCAGTTATCACTTTTACTTAAATTTTGGAATAGAAAATATACTGACACATTTAACATTCAAAGAGACTGAGAGGGTGCCCTTAGTCTTGCCTGACCCGTGGCTCTTCAGTTCTCCCTCAAGCAATACATGTTATTGTAAGTTTCTTAGGTATCATTGTATTTAAAGGGAGAACATATATGCATGTGTGTGTGTGTATATACATATATGTATATATATACACACACACACACACACACATATATATATGTCTATGTATTCGGTATTTTGACAGCCTTATCAAAATATATTCATTATGGACACCGTTCACCCGTTTGAAGCGTACAGTTCGGTGATTTTTTTAGTATATTGACAGTTCAGTGCAACTATTCCCACAATCTAATTTTAGACTGTTTTTATGTTCTCATTAACAGTCGCATCCTGTGTCTCTCTACCCCTACCCAAGCTCTAGACAGCCACTAATCTACTCTGTCTCTAGGATGTCGTTTTTTAATCCCTGCTTTCTCACACTGGGTAGTGTTCTATACCTTGCCTTTTTCATCAACACTGTCACTGTTGTGAGGATATTTTGCTGTCGGGAACCTGGACAAAGGCTCCACTCAGGTGGTTGTGCCTGCCTGGCTCCTGGGAGCAGAGGAATCTGTAGGAGCCAGTGGGTAAAGGCCATGCTCACGGCCTGCCTTCTGCTGTTGTGGGCAGCCTCAATTCTGGAGGGGAACGTTTCTAACCTCTGTTCTTTCTGTGTTTAGAAACTCATTGCATATGGGCACATCACTGGCAATGCCCCGGACAGTGGAGCCCCCGGGAAGCGGTTGATCGACAGAATCGTTGAAACCATTTGCAATTGTTTTCAAGGTCCTCAGACTGATGAAGGGGTTCAGTTGCAAATAATTAAGGTATTTCCGTTTAGTTGCCTGGTCTGGTTTTTAAATGAGAAAACCAGTTTCCTTTGGGAATTTTTATTTCCAATTTGCCATATGTTAGTTGTTTCAGGTGGTGCTGAGCTGGAACTGAAAAATGTAAGCAGCACCTAACTCTTTGTTAAGTGTCAGAATTTATTAGTATGGACTAAGACAAGGAGAGTGGAACCAGGTGTGTTTTCAAAGGAAACAGTTCCACTAGTAACACCAAAATTGTGTGTGAATTCAATCAGCTGCCCCCTCACCCCTGAAATTCTGGATTCCCAGTCTGCAGTTTCTGAGCAAATTTTCATTGTTGCTCTTATCCCCAACTTGCCCCTGTTTTCTTGTCCTTCCGTTTCACTTTCCTATGTCCACTATCAGGAATGGTTTGGCATGGGTGATACCGTCTGCTTATGAGGATGGGGAAGTCAGGCTTCCAAAGCTTAAGTCCTACATCTGTTACCTGGTGAGAGATGGCTCCAGGTTAGCAATACCTTTCTCAAAACTCTGACAACCTCAGGGAGCTGGAAAACTGACCACCCATTGAAATGTGTATTTGTGATTAATATGGGTCAGATCAAGCTGGAGGATTTTTCCTCCTGGGAGCTATATTTGCATCTTTTATTTTAGGGTTTTTGATCAGTATTAACATTCAGAACTTTGACTTTTTAAAAAGTGAGTCAATAGAAAGCCTATTTCATGACAACTGAATTATTTCAAATAATTTGAATTTCATGGAGTTGGTAGTTACTTTTAAACTCAGAACAGCAGGTAGCTCTTGGTACTGATCATACAGTTTAGTGTGCAAAGCCATCTTAAAATTTATTTAATAAATAAATAAATAAATGAATAAAGCCAAATCTTCTAGAAAAGTTTGACTTCTAGAGGACAGGAAGAAGGTGGAGGTTGGTGAAGGTCAAGGTTTCCAATCTCTGTTTTAGGCTCTTCTGACCGCAGTGACTTCCCCTCACATTGAAATCCACGAGGGCACTATCCTGCAGACAGTGAGGACGTGCTACAATATCTATTTGGCCAGCAAAAATCTCATCAATCAAACCACTGCCAAGGCTACCCTTACTCAGATGCTGAACGTCATTTTCACCCGCATGGAAAACCAGGTGGTGAGTAGCCTTGCTCAGCCGCTGGGCAGGACACATCCTATCTGAGCACTTTCACGTGTGGCCTCGGCGCCCCTGCAAGGCTCTCTAGTGTTTTAAAGTTTGTCTCTTCCCCCTGCGAATTCTCTACACTGTGCCTTTGTTCTTATTTTTGAAATTGGAGAATTTTGCGTGGGTTTCAAAGTTTGCTTTCAGAATTTGCTTTGGGTTTGTCATGGAAATTTATTTCTTCTTAAAGTTTTTATTTTGATTTTTCTCATTGGAATTTATTTTTAATTTATTGAGAAACTGAGACTGTACCCTTGCCAAGGTCTTCTCCCCAGCCTCCCAGCCAGACAGGCTCCCAGCTGCACACAGGCATGCCCCGCATGTTCAGGTTGGCCCAGGATCTGAACCTAAGTCCCTCACTCCAGTACCACACAGCAGTACTCTACCTGTTACACCACCATGGCTGGTCGTAGTTGAAAATTTATTAAGCAGTAGGCTAATGCAGTTTTTATTCCTTACCAAAATGCTGGAACCGTTTAGATCGAATTCCTTTTTTGTTGCCTTTTAGTTGCAGGAGGCTAGAGAATTGGAAAAACCGATCCAGTCAAAACCCCAGTCCCCTGTGCTTCAGACTGTAGCAGGATCTCCAAAATTCAGCCGTTTGAAGCCAAGTCCAGCTCAAAGCAAACCAGCTACTCCTGAGAAAACAGATTTAACCAACGGTGAACATGCCAATAGTGGTTCTGGAAGAGTAAGCTCAGAAAACGGAGATACAACAACGGAGAGAAGACTCTCCCTGTCAGGTACAGCTGGTTGCAGTTTGTCTTTCCCTTTCCAAGTGTGAGAAGAAAGCTTCATTAGCTGGGGCCAGAAGGAGGCAGTGTCTGGTAACATTTAAAGGAGACCTCTGATGGCAGCTTGTCTATTTCTGGGCCTTGCCCTTCGTTTCCCCTTTGCTTTCCTCTTGTGGAACAAGACCAGTGAGCCATGATGTCTAATTAGAGTCCCATTGTCAGCTGCACGGTTTTCCCTAAATAGTTCCTGGAATGTGTCCATCCATAAGAAGCAGCTACTACTTTGATGTGTCAGCCTCAGTGCTAGGGGTTCAGTTCCCTCCCAGTAGTTAATCATTTACTTGTCATTCAGCCTCTGTCTTATCCAGAGGAGAACCAGGGCTCACTCATGCTCACACTGGATTTCCTCGCCTTGCTAGTGCCTTGGCAAGTGGAGCCACTCATAGACATGGTAGACGAACCAGAGGCGGGTGGCTGGGTAGATGGATGGACAGATGGAGGGCTTTATTTTCCTCCTTGGTGACCAAGTACATCATTTGTTTTTATTGGCCTTTTTAGATGAAAAGAAATCCTACACCTTATAATTGTAAAGTAAATGAAATATTAGGCATGAAATCTTGTATTAGGTTATCCTAAGATTATTTCTAAATGTTTGCTTCTTTTTCTGGGCAGTTTCTATGAACCAAAGTCAAAATTCTTTTTTTTTTTTTTTTTTTTTTTTAGGAATTTTCCTTTCACTAAGTATTTCTGTCAAATAATTTTCACTCAAACTGGCAGTTCAATGCAAAATCATTGGTCCATCTTTATGATTGGTCTCTCTCCTTCAGTCACTCTGACTGGGGTTTCTGTTGGTAGCATGGTCCCTGCGAGGGTGCACCCATTTGAGCAGCTCTGAACCTTTGTACTTCACCAGTGTGCATGGTATACCCTGGAACAGACCAAGGGTTGTTGCTAAAATGTTGTTCTGTATCTGTTTAGTCGAGGAAAAGATGAAAGAGAAAGTCGTCACCAAGAATTGCGTGTCTTGGGATGAGCATGGAGTTGCCAGCTGCTCATTTCTGCTGCTGTGTGTTTAAGGAAGGCGCTGAGAAACTGGCCCACCCTCTGTGTCTGATGTCATTTTGCCTTTGTAACTCTTCAGGACAAGGACTAGGTTTTTACTGTAACCTTTATCAAGCTGTAGTCAGCTGATAAGTATTAATATTTAAGCACGTTGCAGTAAGCGTAGCTGTGCAGATATAAAAGCAGTTGTCTCTGAGCTGCATGAAAGTGCTTCCACTATGGCCTGTTTATATGTAGCAGCCAAAGTGATCATTTAAAAGCATGAATTAGATCATGACCCTTTTCTACATAACCCTTTGGGTAATTCCCTATCCTGTTCCATTCAGAGTGAAATCCATACATGCTTCACCCCCAGGGCTCACAAGGCCCTGTGTGACCTGATCCCTCTCCACTCTGTCTCCTCCTCACATTCTTCTTTTGTTTTCTGTACCATATACCGGCATTGTTTCTGGTCCATTTTTTTTTTTTTTAATTTTAAGAGAGATTTTTTTGCCATAGGGCATGTGCACTTGCCAGAAAAAACAAAGAGAAAGTGAGAAATCACCCCCGGGTGGTGGAGGGGGATGGCCATGCCTCAATCCTTCATTCTCCTCTCAGGATTTTGGGCACACATGCACATGTACCCAGCGTGAATTTAAAGCAACAAGATCTGGGACTTGAACCGCATTTGGTCATATGGGAGTCCAGCACCTTAACCACCACGCCACCTGCTTCTTCTTTTTAAGTTTATTTCTTCTGTGAGAGACAGGCACTCCCAACAAGGTCTGCACACCACGATCCAGCATCAGCCAGTCTTGATCATGAGTATGCACGCATGTGTGCCCAGCACACACAGGGAGGTCCTGGGACAGGAACCTGAGACATTCCTGTGTGGGCCCAACATCACAGAGTACTGCATTACTGTGCCACCCTCTGGGCTGGTGTTTGGTTCTTCAAAGTGCCATGCTTCTTCCTGCCTCGGTGCCTTTGAACTTACTATCCCTTTCTAACCCCCATATTGCCCCTCATCTTCAGTTCTTTCAGTTCAGACTAAAAGATCTTCCAAGATCATCACCAAGCTCCCCACCACGTCATTGTGATGTCCTGTCATTCTCTTTTACATTTTCATATCTCTTCTCAACCTGAATTTCCTGAAGTACTTATGTTTACTTGTTCCCGTCTGAGGCCTGTGTGGTCTGCTCTGCTTACCACTATATTCTCAGGACCTAGAATGGTGCCTGACACAAACGGAAACAATGCAGTGAAGACAATTTTTGAATGAAAGGGAGGAATGTGATTTCTAGATATATTTTGCAGAGGTGACAGAATGATTGGCAGGTAGTGTATTGCTATGGAATTTGATGCCAGTGGTTGGTACATCCTGTTAGGCTTCTCCTAGAAATGTGGGACTCAGATTGCCTGCAAGAATCAAACTGCAGTCCTGCAAATAATGGGTCAGAACAGAGGTGTGCCATCACCTTTAAAAAGAATGAATGGCCCCCAGTTTGCAGCTTTTGGCTCTAAAGGAAAAAATGAGTCCTCCGGAAAAGAGAGTTAACAGCCCCAGAAGCCAAAGAGGAAGGACAGGCTACAAGGAGGTTGTGGGGGGTGCCACCCAACAAAGATGTTGCTCAGGGCTGGAGACCAGGCCGTTGAGGCCCACTGAGAGCCCTGGGCTCTGGCACCTCTGGGGGCTACTGGTTTTACTGTGTTTTCTTATTACTAAGCGTGCGAACTTGAGTATATTCATAGAGTTCTCCTACAGACCCTGTCCTGTAGTAATCATTGCATAGCCACCCCTAACTGGGCTCTCACTGTGCCGGGCACTGTGCTCAGTAAATCAACTTTACAGTTTCCCGTTTAATTAATGAAAACCTTTCCCACAGCCTTCCTGGGATAATTGCCTGGGCATGTAATTTGCATTGATATGAGTTCACCTACAGTTCTGAGCATCCCTTTCCTCTTAGTGGTTTTTCATGTCAAATTAATTAATCAGCAATGAATTTGTCTGTCTTATCAGACTATCCAAGAAGTAGATCAGATTATTCTTTGAAAAGTTGTAAAGGGTGCCAGCCAGACTTCTGTAGAGAACCCCATTCATTTATCCAGTCACAACTCTCCTGAGTTCCCAGCTGTTCTTGTCTAGTTTTTGTTTGTTGGTTTGTTTGTTTTTGGCTGTTCGTTTATTTGCTTTCCAGTTTTGTTATGTGGCATGTATGCTTACCAAAGAGAGAAAAAAAAACATGGAAACAGAGATTATCTCCCAGGGGGATGGCCATACTACAATCCTTTCTCCTCCATTCTCCTCTTGGGATTTTGGGCATTCACACACATGTGCCCAGCATGATTTTCAAGTTACCGGGTCCAAACTCGAATTGCTCAGTAAGCCCTGTAGGATCCAACCACCTTAACTGCCATGCCTAAGATGCTTTCTAGAGATATGGTTCACATACATAAATTTACTCATTTAAAATACAGAGGATGCATACACAACCAGTAGGGCATGGTCATACCACAGTCCTTTTTCCTCCATTTCTGCATCTAGTCAGGTTTTGGGCATGCATGTACATGTGCCTGGTGCATCCTTCAAGCTGCTGGGGCTGAGATTTGAACCATGTAAGCCTTGGGGGATCTACCTCCCAATGCACAGGGCTTAACCACTGCACTATGGGGCTAGCTCAGAGAATTCCATACTTCATATTATATTCACGGGGTTGTGCAGTTGTTACCACAGTCGACTTTAGAACATTTAATCACCCCCAAAAGAAACCCTGTACTCCATAGCATTTCTCATTTTCTTCCTTTTCTTTTCTTTTTTTTTTTTTTCTTGGTCTTTGAAGTCCTGTTTAGGATGAATTTACATTGAGAACATTATATCAAGGAAAAAAAATGAAGTTTATTTCAGTGAGTCCACAGATTTTGGCTTCTCATTGGGAATTTGCAAGGTGTCCTGGAATGAGACCCTGAGCATGTGACAGAATAATCTGTTAGAGCTCCCACAGTTTTCTGGACTGTAGGGTGGGTCTGTAGTCAGGACCCCAGCCACATAAAGAGTTCTATGCGAATCTCTATTCAGTGGTGGGGATGTGCTTCTTCTCAAGCCATTTCTTTAGGCTGTTCTTTCTCTCTTCCAGATCTTCAGGGCCGTATGCTTTGCAGTCTCCAGACATGAACAAATGCATCAGCTTCTCTTTTACTCTCTGGTCTCCTTCATTCACAGTCATTTTCTTTTAAAAAGATTGCTTTTAAGATTACCTTTTGGGGACCAGCAGGTGGTGTGGTAGTTAAGGGCACTGGGCACCCACATGGCCGACTGCAGTTCAAGTACCAGGCCTGGAGGCTTGCTTTCTCATTTCTCTCTCTCACTCACTCACTCTGTCCTCTGGTCAAATTTAAATAAATAAAGTTAAATAAAATACTTCTTTGAAAAAAAAAAAAAAAAAAAGATTCTGACCTTTTAGCTCCCAGCATCAAGAATACATAGAGGTTTATATTTGTGGAACTGGCTCTGTTATTTTCTTTTGAATAAATTTTAATTTTAAAAACGAGTTGCTTAAAGAAAAATAGCAAATATTCGGATGGTAACCAGATGTGAAAGTGGTGGAAACTGTGTGTGTGTGGGGGGGAGGGGCGGTTAAGTAAGCCTGGCTGTTCTCCATGCTAGCAAACCCTCAGCTTTGGGAATTTTATTCTTTTTTTTTGAGAGGTTTTCACTATAGGGCATGTGCGCTCGCCAGACAGACAGAGAAGACAGAAAGTGAGAAATCACCCCCCGGGGGATGGCCACGCCGCAATCCCTTCTCCTCCATTCTCCTCTCAGGATCTTGGGCATGCATGTACACGCGCCCGGCGTGAGTTTAAGCCACTGGGTCCAGGACGCAAACCGCGGTCGACTACAAAATAGCCATTACACTAACTGCTGGTCCCAGGGAATTTTATTCTTTATTGGCAAAAAGAAACAATAGTCTCGGGACCAGCAGTTGGCATAATGGCTATGTCATTGGACTCCCATGTAGTCGACCACAGTTCGAGTCCCGGACCTGGTGGCTTAAGCTCATGCTGGGCATGTGTGTGGCCATACTCCCTGGGGGTGATTTCTCACTTTCTGTCTGTCTTTCTCTCTCTATCTTTCTGGCAAATGCACATGCCCTATAGCAAAAACCTCTCAAAAAAAGAAAAAAAGGAAGTCAGATCTCACATGGTCAGTTACACAGTTTGAGTCCTAGACCCAGCACCTTGAGCAGTGCACCAGATGTGTGTGCATGCGTGCCTAAAATCCTGAAGGGAGAGAAAGGTGAAGGAGAAGGCTTGCATCACGACCATTCCCCCAGACAGGAACCCCCTCTGACACCAACGAGCACATGTGCCCTCTAGCAGAAAGAAAAGAAAAAAGCTGTGTTCTCTGGTTGTTTTCCTTTAGTACTCCTGTGTGTGATTGAGTGTTTGTCCATTGAGCACAACCAGGTCCTAGTTTCCATGAAACAAGTGTGTCATACTTCATCGTCACCATGTGTTTATATTTGCCTCTTCGACTCCCATCTCACTCTTTTTATTTATTATCTCCCAGCTAGGATATAAGCGCCATGAGGATAAAGATCTTTATTTTTTAGACAGTGATGTGTTCCAAATGCCTGTGACAGTGGCAGACTCAGGCACTCGGTTTGTTGATCGAATGCATTAGTGAGTGTGCTAGCACCCACCTCTCCAGTCACCAGTCATTCGTACTTAATTAGACGTAGGCCAGGGTCTTGGGAAGGCATTGTGTCCGACTCCTTTTTCCCATTACTCTTAGCATCTGACTTCAATCTTCAGGGTTCAGAACGCTGCCATTTTGTTCCAGCAGGAAGAAGGAGGAAGTGGATAGACCACAGAATTTCCTTCCAGCTGAGTCAGTCTTCTTTCTAAAGAGGAGCCATTCTGGAAGCCAGCTCCATCCTTAATAACTGCTTACTTCTCATTGACTCTAGGATTTGGTCACATGACCATCCTTTCTATAAGGAAGGCTGGGAAATATAGATATATTCCCTTCCAAAACAAAATGAGGGTGCTGTTAGTGAGGGAGAAGGATAGGAGTTACGTAACTGACCTTGCCTTGCCACACCAGAGCAAGCCATGCATGGTGAGGGTCTCTCCTGTCTGAACCTACCCAAGGAGACCAATCTTGTTTTGCTTGGGGTCAGAGTCTATGAAACAGGTAGGGTCTTGTGGTGACATCCCCAGGGAACCAGCAGAACCAGTGGTTTTGAAGTATAGTCTTTGCACCTTTCCAGTATTTGATTCGATTGGGTTGTCATTTTCACAGCATACTTGAAACTTAAACACAGCAGACGTGGACATTTTGAAGTTCCCTTGCATTAGCGATTGTCATAACATTGAGAAAAGCCTCTTCTAAGAGGTGCAGGTCACTCCTGTGAGGGGTGCAGTCTACACTGACTGCAAGGAGTCCTGCTGCTTCAGGCCTTTACTTGGGTATTTCTCAGTAGCTCTGTTTCCAGGAGCCTTGTGTCTGATTTAGGACTTCCTGGCTCTCCCAGCCTTTCCTAGCCCGAGGATAGTTTAGTTTTGCACAGGTGTGGTTTGGGATCCAGCCAGTACCCCTACCAGCCTGTTAGGGAAAATAAGTTCTTTACTTGGATCCCTCAAAGAACAGTGATCCTGAAGCTCCTTAAATTTTAACTACACAAAGGGAAAAGATACATGTTGAAATGGACATTTTTTTCCCCCTTAGGAATGAAAGATAGTGAAGACTTTAACTAAAATTACTTTCAGTACATTTAGTTGGGGGAAAAGTCATTATAGATTACTCTCCAGGGCCAGGCAGACAACAGGAACGAGCAGCCTTCTCTCATGAGGGCATCGGAGATGCTGTGACACACACACTACATATCAGACACACGGACCTAATACAAGTGAATGTGGGAATGCTCACTGCTTTCAGGCACCATTTTAAATGCTCGACACATACTATCTTATGTAGGTCTCATAACGCCCTTACTTCCTGGTTAGGGAACTGAGGCTTGGGGGAGTTAAAGAACCTAAGACTCTGTGTTGGGCAGTGACAAATCAGGGACCTGGACCAAGCACATTGGCTCCAGAGCACTCGTCTTAATCATCGTGCTGAATTTATTCCACAAAGGACCATTTCCCTTCTGATTTTTAGGTTTTTGTCATAGTATGTGTGCACTTTCCAAAGAGAGGGAAAGTGAGAACTCACCCCACAGGAGGGATGGTCACACCTCCTCTCAGGATTCTGGGCAGGCATGTATGTGTCTGGTGTGATTTTTAAGCCACCGGGTCTGGGACTCAAACTGTAGTCAGCCACGTGGGAATCTAGCACTTTAACTGTCACACCACTTTCTCGCCCCATCTCTGATGTTCTTACAAGACCCCACCCAGTCCTTCTTCCATCTTCCCCACCTTGGCAGACCTGTTACTGTCCTTCTTACTGCCTGGTAGCCGCCGTGCAGTCCAGTCGCGATGGTGACTGGCCTCAGTGAAAGGGAGACAGTGGGAGTGGTGGGGCTGAAGCCGCAGAGCATCTGCAGAGTTCACATGCTGGCCGAAGAGGGCATCTTCTCTGGGTTCCAGCTAGTGGTAGCCTAGTGTTACCATGTACTTTGTTTTTTAAATGGGTTTCTGGTTCTTACAAGCAGACTCTCAGTTTTTAAATGTTGGCAATGTATCCAAAGTCTTCAAAAGCAATGCATAGCTAGATAACACACCTGTAGACCAGGCGTCCCCACCAGCCACTGCTTCGTAGCCTCTGGCCTAACTCGCTGAGCCTGTGGCCCCTCTCATCATTCAGCAGCGAAATGATATCCAATGATGATGTCTTGAATGTGAGCAAGGTGCTGAGTGTCATGTACTTGGGAATGTGCTGTACGGGCTGAAAATCATGACCATAATTTTACTAAATGGTGGCATCAGAGAAGGCTGGAACTAGACAGGAACTTAGAGTATCTAGTCATCAAGTCGTGGTATAGGTCAGAGAGTTGTACGGTAGGTCGTTCTTAGAGAGTGGTTTCATTTTAATAGTTGTATATTTGGTTTAACATGCATTCAGAAAATATAATAAACATCAAAACATATTCTGTGAGGTTTTTTAAGGTGAGTTACAGAACCTCATTAAAAAATGGCACATGACTATGGCAAAAAATTAGGAAAATGTTATGAGAATGACTGAAAGTTTGGATAGCATTGGTCTAGTCTAAATTACCCTTTTTAGATGAAGAAATGAGTTTAGGAGATTGTGACCATAACTGGGGAATTTTCTAATTTCCATTCAGGATCTTTTTTGCCCTCTAAGAAAAGCTTATTATTATGTGACTATTTCTCAGCCATTTAGATGGTTACCGTGTATGAATTGCTAGATGGAAATGAAAGTACTCCGTGCTGTTCTTCAGGACCTTATAGACCAAGCACAGAACTCATAAAAATCGTGTCTGGGTTGAAAGTCTTCAGTAAGTCAGTTAGAAGAGTTACTGTGGTTTTGCTGAAGGTGATGGCTTTTTGGTCAGTGTGATGTTTCATAAATCAGTAATGCTTCTAAAAGTCTAGTTAATAACTATTTTTAAACTCTTTCTTTTTTTTAGACCTAGGTTTCTGGAGAAAGGGAAAAAAAGGTGAGATGCTGAACCTCCGCCGGTTCACATTTTATAGGATAATTGTGTTGAAAATGCTACAGATTCCCCAGTCTCCCATTAATGATCTCAGGTGAATTCTGAGTTCACAATGTGGGGACAGCAAAGCAGCTGGAGGCATGTCACTTACCAGGCCCGCTGGACTCCCAAGGCAAAGACACAGGGAAAAGAAACCACAGCTGGCTAAAAGCTGGCTCCTGCCTCCAAGTTGAGGTGACACAGAGGGCCACGCACCTGGGATGGAAGGGAGAGAGTACCAGTCAGAGGGGTTCCCAGGTTTCACGGGAGTTGTCTTTGGCCTCGGGGAGTGCTCATTTGCACCCTTCGCCTTCTGAAATGTGACTCTAGAGAGACATTGCCATAACCTCCTTCTCCCCCTTCCTCTGTTTTCCCTGGAAATGCCATTCGTGTATTTGGTTGTTTGCAGGGACAGATGACGGAGCCCAGGAGGTGGTGAAGGACATCTTAGAAGACGTGGTCACTTCTGCAATTAAAGGTAAGAACCAACCCAGCCTTTCCTCCTATCTCATTCCTCCAAACAAGCCCTTGGCCAAATATGTAAGTGCTGGAGTTCCTCTTCCCTTCCTAGACACCCCAGGGAACTCAGGAAAATTGAGCTGTCCATGTCTGCTTATCTTTTTTTTTTTTTTTAAATTCTCTGTAGGGCACATGTACTTGCCAGAGAGAGACAGAGAGAAGAAAAATGAGAGTATCTTTTAGGGGGAATGGCCATGCCACAGTTCCTTTTCGTCCATTCTTCTCTTGGGATTTTGGGTACGCACGCACACACAGTCGCCTGGCATGTTTCACGCTGCTGGGTCCGGCCTTGAACTGCACAGTTTGCCATGTATGATCCAGCTGCTGTAACCATCACGCCACCTGGCTGACCTCTGCTCGTCTTTCATCTAGGATTTAGAAAGACTTGTTTATAGGGACTGATTTTATTCTTATTGGTTAGGCTCAGGAAACACAGCCTGACTGTTAGGGTGGGAGCCACACAGGGTTACACCAGGTGTAACCTAGGTGGGGGCAGAGGGCGTTCTGGTTTGTCCATGAGAAATCTGTGAGCCCTGAGAAATCTGTGTTCATTACTGCCGAATTTCCGTGGCCGCCCATTGATGTGGTGAAGGCTTTATTCATTTTTGTTAGACTGCATTCATGACTTCCTCAGCTTCATGGTAGTATGTCTGTGGAATTAAACTGGTATAGCTCAGGACTATTGATGATTTTTGTCTGTTTTTGCCCCAAATCTCAGGTGAGTGGCTAAGTGTCAAGCACTTGGTTCTGGCGCCAGCACATTGTTCATTGGTCGAGAAATCAAAAATGTAGTGGATTGCTGTCAGCACTTTTTATTTTAAGAATTATTTTATTTAACATTATTTATTTATTTTATTTATTATTTTAATTTGAGCAGAGATGGACAGAGAGAGAAAGTGAGAAAGCAAGCCACTAGGTCTGGGACTTAAACAGCATTTGGCCATGTGGGAGGCCAGCACCCTTAACTATATACCACCTGCTGGCCCCGCTATCAGCATTTTTTAATGAAAGAAACTGAAGTGAAATGATAGAATACAGACACTCTGATTATACCATTTAAAGCAATACTAAGTACTGTTTCCTGAAACATGTTTCAGTTATTTAGATGTACATGCTCATGTTGGGACATGATTTTAAAATTAATTTCTTTCTGAGGTCATTATTTGAAAGCTGTTTCTCTGAGCTCTATCATTTTGTCAAGCTAGGGTACTACAAGCAATATATAGATTCCATCACTTATTTAACTCTTCGTAATGTCTTTAAAACCGTATACTTTAATTCAGACCTTTACATTTATTTCAGGGGTCTATACAGGAAGTCCTCACATAAAGAATGAATGTCTGTCTTGTTCACTGCTGTTTCTCCCAACCCTTACCATAGAGCCTAGCACGTAATAGGCACTAGATAAATGTTTATTGAATAATTATATGCTTTGTAAAGCCGGTATTGAGGGGGCCGGAAGGTGGCATGGTGGTTAAAGGCACTGCCCACATGACTGACCACAGTTCAAATCCTGGACCTGGCAACTTGCTTTCTCACTTTCTCTCTCTCTTTCTTTGTGTCTCACTCTGGTCAAATTAAAAAATAACAATGATAAATAAAATAAAGGAAATAATTAAAAAAAACAAAACTGGTCGGGACTAGCAGTTGGCATAGCAGCTATGTCATTGAACTCCCATGTAACTGACCAAGTTCGAGTCCTGTACCTAGTGGCTTAAACTCACACTGGGCACATGTGCATGCTTGCTCAATTTCCCGAGAGGAAAATGGAGAAGGGATTGAAGCATGGCCATCCCCCTGGGGGGTGATTTCTCACTTTCTGTCTCTCTGTCTCTCTCTGTCCTTCTGGCAAGCGCACATACCCTATAGCAAAAGCGTCTCAAAAAAAAAAAAAAAATCTGGTATTGAGGATTATACTTATTAAGTTGTTCAGTGTCTTTTATACATATATAGATCCACGTGATAAATTCCACTTCGATTTTCACTGTTCTGCTCATGATCAGATGTGCTTTTTTATGCTAAATAATGAAATCTATTCAGTTCTTTCTTTTAATTCTCTCTGTTTTTTACATGGCTGCCAGGGAGCCTCGCTGTACATTTTTCTCTGTAACTGAAGCTTTTCTTTTTTTTTTTTTTTTTGGAGAGGTTTTTCGCTTATAGGGCGCATGTGCTCGCCAGGCCGAGAGAGACGAGACAGAAAGCGAGAAATCACCCCCCAGGGGTGCTCACGCCGCAGTCCCTTCTCCATTCTCCTCTTGGGATCTTGGGCACACACACACACATGCGCCCGGCATGACTTTTAAGCCACCGGGTCCGGGACACAAACCGCAGTCAACTACATGGGAGTCCAGTGACAGCCATTACGCTAACTGCTGGTTCCCTGTAACTGAAGCTTTTCTGTCATAACTTATTCTTCTCTAATTCCTGTATTAATGGCCCTGTAAAAAGAAATCGGTGCTTTGTATGCTTAGCAACTGGACAGAGCGGGCAGGACTGCAGTATCACATGATTTTGGAGATACCATTGCCATGAATCGTAATATAAATGAGGTCCTGTTGTGAGCTGTGCGTTGCCGTGGCCCCTGCAGAGGGGCGGTGCTAATAGTCACACATAAAGCTTAAACTCACTGTTGACCCTGCCTCTAAAAAAACAAAAAAGAATTATTTTACTTAACTTTATTTATTTTAATTTGACTGGAGAGGAACAGAACAAGAGAGAGAGAGAGGGAAAGTGAGAAAGTAAGTTGCAGGTCTAGGACTCAAACCGTGATCCGCCATGTAGGAGTCCAGTGCCCTTAACCACCACGCCACCTGCCGGCCCCGACCCTGCCTTTCTACTGTGTGGCCCAGGAAAAGGGGAAAAGCAACAGGAGGGTAGTTATGTGAGTAGCTAATTTCTGGCGTCAGGCAGCCCTTTAGGACAAGTACTAATTTGGCAGTGATATGTGCACTTGTGTTTTAAGAAGCAGCAGAAAAACATGGTCTGACAGAACCTGAGAGGGTCCTCAGGGAGCTGGAGGACCAGGAAGGTGCTGTTCCCCCCGGAATGGATGAAAACTCACAGACCAATGGCATAGCGGACGACAGGCAGTCCTTGTCTTCAGCAGATAATCTGGTATGTTGGTGGTATCTTATGCAGATTCATTCTCATTTTTACCTTTTGGCTGATATAGAACTAAATCTCTATCAAAAGAAGTAAGTAAAGTAAGCAAGCTCTTTTCAGTTATTAGTCACACGGTCTTGGCCTGATAGTCTGTGTTAGCAGGTTCAGTTCTTGGAAAGTCCTAATGCTAGTTATACACATTTGTCATTTAACCGTTTACTTAGTGTATTCTTTTTTTTTTTTTTTTTGGAGAGATTTTCACTGTAGGACGCATGCGCTCGCCAGACAGACAGAGAGAGACAAAGAGACAGAAAGCGAGAAATCACCCCCCAGGGGGGATGGCCACGCCGCAATCCCTTCTCCTCCATTCTCCTCTCAGGATCTTGTGCACGCACGCACACGCGCCCGGCGTGAGTTTTAAGCCACCGGGTCCGGGACACAAACCACGGTCGACTACGTGGGAGTCCAGCGACATAGCCATTACGCTAACTGCTGGTTCCCCTTAGTGTATTCTTTCAAGGTAATGCGATTATCTTTTTTTTTAATTAAATAATTATTTAATTTTATTTATTATTATTATTTAATTTGCTATAGGTCACACGTATTCACCAAAGAGAGACAGTGAGAGACAGAAAGCAAGCCACCAGGTCTGGAACTCAACTGTGGTCAGCCATGTGGGAATCCAGTGCCTTAACCACCATGCCACCTGCTGATCCCATACATTTGTCTTAAATGATACACTTTTTTTTTTTTGGAGAGGTTTTTGCTATAGGGCGCCAGAAAGAGAGAGAAACGGAAACAAAAAGCGAAAAATCACCCCCCAGGGGATGGCCACACCACAGTCCCTTCTCCTCCATTCTCTTCTAGGGATCTTGGGCACACATGCACACACACCCTGCGTGAGTTTAAGCCACCAGGTCCAGGACTCAAACCATGGTCAACTACATGGGAGTCCAGCGACATAACCATTACGCCAACTGCTGGTCTCAAATGGTACACATTTTTAATAGAACAGTTTAGTTTTTTTGTAGAGCGCATTCACTTGTGAACTTGAAGGGCAGTGAAAAAATCACCCCCTGAGGGCATAGCTACACCATAGTCCTTTCTCTGTCAATCTCTTCTTGGGATTTTGGACACCTACGCACACATGCCCACTGTGTCCGAGGCTCAAACCACACAGCTGGCCACGTGAGATGTTGTGCCTTAACCTCCATGCCACTTGCTAGTTCAGTTATATTTTATTTTTAAATAGGAAAATATATATCTTAAAATTTAAATATAGGGAACTATTTTTCCTTTTCTGTGTTAGGAAGTCCATGTATATGGGAATGTATCCATAATCCAGATAGTCCTTGTTAGCATTTCACTTAATCCTTCAAGATTTTTTTCCCTCTTATAAATTTCTCATTAAAATAGAGCAGAGCAATATGCGTGCTGTGTTGCAGCCATCTTTTTAAACTTAACGTATGTTGTGGATATCCCTTCAGCCCATAGGTAAATCTGCCTCAATTTTTTTTAATTAACTATTGTTCTCTCAAACATTGTATATATACACATTCAAACAGGAAGTAATTCGACAGGACCAACTCTCCAGACCTCACTTTCTGGATTTCCTCCACCAGTGTTTCCCAACCTTTTTCAGTATCCTTTCTGCCCTCAGGAACCTTTTTAAGACTTTTTCCCCAATCATCATTGTCCTCCCCTATGACTTTTTAAAGCCACCAATAAGTTGGATATCTGTATACTGTATATCTACGTTTTTTACATAAAAAAAATATATATATTTTTACACCCACCTCCAAGAACTAATTTTTGTCCCCTTGAAGTTAATCATTCCCACTAAAAATGCACTGATAGGGGACAGCAGGTGGTGTGGTGGTTGAGGCCCCGGACTCCCATATGACCAACACTGGTTCAAGTCCTGGACCTGGCGACTTGCTTTCTCACTCCCCCTTTCTGTCCGTCTCTGGTCAAAATTGAAGGATAATGATAAATAAAATTGAAAATAAATCTTTTTTTTTTTTTTTGAGAGGTTTTTTTTTTTTTTTTTTTTTCACTATAGGGCGTGTGCGCTCGCCAGACAGACAGAGAGAGACATAGAGACAGAAAGCGAGAAATCACCCCCCAGGGGGGATGGTCACGCCGCAATCCCTTCTCCTCCATTCTCCTCCCGGGATCTTGGGCACACACGCACACACGCCTGGCATGAGTTTTAAGCCACCGGGTCCGGGACGCGAACCGCGGTCAACTACGTGGGAGTCCAGCGACATAGCCATTACACTAACTGCTGGTTCCCAAAATAAATCTTTAATTTACAGAAATCCATAATAGATCATGTCTCATAGGCCCGGCTGTGACTTGCTTCACTTGTTCACTCAGCCCTACATCGTGGCCATCTTTCCGTAGTGCGTGTAGATGTAGCTCAAATATTTTTTTTCTTTTGAGAGATTTTTTGCTGTAGTGCACATGCACTCACCAGAGACACAGAGAGACAGAAAACGAGAAATCACTCCCGGTGGTGTGTGTGTGTGTGTGTGTGTGTGTGTGTGTGACCGCGCCACAATCCCTCCTCCTCTGTTCTCCTCTTGGGATTTTGGGCACACACATACATGCGCTCGGCATGAGTTTTAAGCCACCAGGTCCGGGACTCAAACCACGGTCCACTATGTGGATGTCCAGTAATGTAACCATTACACCATCGGCTAGTCCCATAACCAAATTTTTTAATAGCCATATAAAATTCCGTAGGGATTACCACAGTCTATGCAGCGATTCCATCTTAGATTTTTAGGTTGTTTCAGTTTTATCACAGGGAACAGTTCTGTAACCAACATCCTTACAGATAGATCTTGTGCACATCACTAGTTTTTCCTTAGGGATGAATTTTTGCAAGTGGTATTGCTGGACCCTGAGTTGGAAACTAAGGTTTTTGCTCTCTAACACCAAATTAGCCTTCCTGGAAGCTACCACTCAAATCCCTGCCCAGCGTTAGGCTAACCCTCATTAAGACTGGGTCTTAGCATTTATTGGATCTTTGTTACTCTTATAGGAAAAGAGCCTGCTTTGATGATTAGCATGAAGTGAGGTCATTTAGTTTTATCTCCTTTATTTTTTAGCTAATTTGCTCTATTTTATGTTGAGAATACTAATTCATGTTATATGTTACAAATATTTATTTTATTTTTAAATGCGGTGTACTTTTTTAAGGTAAAAACATTTATTTTTAAATGCCTATCATTTTTTTCTCATTTATTCTGTAACAGTATTCTTAGAAACACCTTTTTTACCAATTATGTTTGCTTTAGGTTTTTTATGGCTTAGCTATTAATCATTCATCATTTTAAGCCACCTATACCAGCTTTTTGAAGGAGGAAGCATAAGGTTTTGAAACTACTGTAATAACTCCCCCTATTTTGCCATATTGTTCCTTCCCCTCATTCCTAACCTCCTTGTTGAATAAATACAAGAATTTAAATGTTCTTGAGATTATTACATTTCTTATTTTTGAAAAGTGTCACTCTTCTGTTTCATTCCTTCAATTTTATTTCATTTCGTTTGCTTCTAATCTTAGGAATCTGACACACATGGACATCCAGTGGCCGCTAGGTTCTCTCACATTCTGCAGAAGGATGCCTTCCTTGTGTTCCGTTCCCTGTGCAAGTTGTCCATGAAGCCCCTCGGTGAAGGCCCCCCAGATCCGAAGTAAGCCAACAGCAGTTCTTGATTGTCACCGCCCTATGTTGTGGGAGCTCGTGGTAGCCTAGTTCACCCTCCTCTGTTCCAAGAAGTCCCAGTGCCCAGTCTTCATGTTGGAGGGAGGGCAGGAATTTATTCAGGCTGATTTGGCAGCCTTTCATACTCATGTGGACCGTATAGTCCTTTCATATTGAATGGTCTCTGTATCCCCACCGACCAACATTTATATATGGTAAAAACAATCAGAGATGCATTCAGATCTTGACTCAGCTGGCTGAGTTGAGTTGCCAGACCTCATTTGAAAACTGGGAAATTAGGAGGCCAGTGGTGATGTGGTGGTTAATGTAGTGGATTTCTACATCGTTGACCACAGTTCAAGTCCTGGACCCAGTGGCTTGAAATCACACCAGGCAAATGTGCATGCATGCCCAAAACTCTGAGAAAAGAATGGAGGAGAAGGGATTATAGCATGGCCATCCCCCCTGGGGTTGGTGATTTCTCACTTTCTCTCTAGCAAACCTTAGAAAAATAAATGAAAGAAAGAAAAATGGGAATTCAGAAAATCCCCTGATTGGTTAATGAATCGGCATAGGTGTCTTGAGCACATGGCCTTGCCTTGAGTTTTATAGGGCCATTCCTGTATCACTGCTCAGTGCTAAGCATTGGGAGCTGGACCTTGTGTGGCCAGTCATGGCTCGAGTTCCAGCCTGAGTGACTTGAAAGAATACACCAGGTACATGTACATGCATGCCCAAAATCCTGAAGGGATGGAGAAGTGGAAGGAAAAGGACTGTGGTCTCACCGAGGGGTGCTTTCCCTCACCACCCAATCTCTCTGTCTCTCTCTAGTGAGTGCATGTATCCTCTGGCAATCAAAAAAAAAAAAAAAAAACTGGGACTGATGTCTCATCTTCACACGATTGGTGTCAAGTCATTGAGTTTATCAGTTCAGTTGTAAAACCAACTCCCTGGAGTCTGGTGGCATTGATTTTGCCCTTCATGTGTTCGGTACTTTTTGGTGGGGAGAGACACAAAGAATGGGAGCCTGCAGCTTCCAGGAGGCCCCCTCATGCCATCTGTCCTCCTCCTCCTGACTTTAGGTGCTTTTGCACATTCTGAACTCATGGGCTTCTCAAAAAACTTGGCTCACTGGTAGAGGAGCAAGGCCTTCTCAGGAAACATAGCCTTCACACATTTTCTTTTTCTGCTGCCATCATTTTCCGTTTTTGTTGCCAGATCCCATGAGCTGCGTTCCAAGGTGGTTTCCCTGCAGCTGCTCCTCTCTGTGTTACAAAACGCTGGGCCCGTCTTCAGGACCCACGAGATGTTCATCAACGCAATCAAGCAATATCTCTGTGTGGCCTTGTCCAAAAATGGCGTCTCTTCAGTGCCTGATGTCTTCGAGCTCTCCCTCGCCATTTTTCTTACTCTTCTTTCAAACTTTAAAATGCACTTGAAAATGCAGATAGAGGTATGGACTCCAACTTGTATTAAATTTTTTGTCTTTGACAACATTCGTACCAGATGGGTTAATGGTTGATGGCTTAGTCACCAGTTACAGTCTATTTTCTGACACCCCAAAGAGGAATTTTAAAAATATATATTTTTTTTACTTATTTAGTTATTTGTTTGTTTTTAAAGAATTATTTTATTTAACCTTATTTGTTTGTTTTTAAGAGGGAAAGTAAGAAAGCAAGCTGCCAAGTCCAGGACTTGAACCATGGTCAGCCATGTGGGAATCCAGTGCCCTTTACCACCATGACATCTGCCAGCCCCACTTTATTTATTTATTTATTTTTATTTTGACTAGAGCAGGTCAGAGTGAGAGAGGGGGGGCGTTGGGAGAAGTGAGAAAGCAAGCCACCAGGTCTAGGACTCAAACTGCAATCAGCCACGTGGGAGTCCTGCACCCTTAACCACCACGCCATCAGCCCCAAGGAATTTTTTTTTTCTAAGAATTATTTATTTTGTTTATTATTATTAATTTAATTTTTGCTATAGGGCATATGCACTCACCAGAGAGAGACAGAGGGAGAGAGGGAAAGTGAGAAAGCAAGCCACCAGGTCCAAGACTTGAGCTACAGTTGACCCCATAGGAGTCCAGAGCCATCACTACCACGCTACTTACTAGCCCCCAAAGAGGAATTTTTTGAATGAGTGAGAGAATAGCACTTTTTTATAAAATGTTACCGCTCCAAATCTTACACACCTTTCATTTTGACCAGAGGTTTAAATCATGTGATCTGCGTTTGTTTGGTACATTATCTGTTTGAACTGTTAATTGCTTGAAACAATTTGAATTAATTGTCAAATTTAAGAAGTTATATTTTATGAAAATCCAGATTTCCACATAGCAGCTCTGGGCGGGAGCTGAGTATCCACTGCTAGCTGCGGCCTCCCCAAGGCCAGGGTTCTTTTCCTTCTGTCCCAGCTACTTTCCTTACAGTGGGATCTGCCTGGCCTCTAAAGAAGGGAGCTTTTGATTCTTAATTGGAACTGTTAATTGGTGTCCTCTTTTGTCTTCATGTCATATAGGTCTTTTTCAAAGAGATTTTCCTGAACATTTTAGAAACATCAACAAGTTCTTTTGAGCACAGATGGATGGTCATCCAGACGCTGACGAGGATCTGCGCAGGTACTCTGACCCTGAGGCTCATCCATTGGACTGACTCAGAGATGCTCTGGATGAACTTTTTTTCCAAAGCCCAGATTAAGACCCTCAATGAAGTGTTAGGAAAATCATTCTGTAAAAGGCTAATTGGAGCCTACTCACTAGTCTTGTACCTTTCTTTTTTTGGAGAAGGACCACCTCACACTAATTTCCCCAGGGATTTCTGGTGTTAGCCCTAGAAGTCCCATATCCCAGAACCCTTCACCCAGTTCTGGCAAGTTGAGATACTTGATCACCCAGCATACAAGCTCATCATTGTTTGTGAACCATGGGGCCCAGGTGTTGGGGTTCCCAGCCCTTGACTGGGTGTTGAGGTAAATTAGGATTTACCTTACATTGGATAGTTGTGTGCCTTCAAACTAATTCTATCTGAGCAATTTATTAAGAGGTAGAGTGGGCAATTGATAGCTTCTCTTTTTCTTTCTTTCTTTCTTTTTTTTTTTTTAGGACAGGGCTCATCCTGAGATCTTCCTGCCTCAGCCTTCCAACTCAGACTATAGATGCATGCTACCATGCCTGACTCTTTTTTTTTTAAGATTTTTTTTTCCATGAGGGATGTGTGCTTGACAAAAGGAGAGTGAGAAATCCACCCCCAGAGGGATTGCCATGCTGCAATCCCTTCTCCTCAGATTGTGGACACACACACGTACACACAGCCATCCAGGATGATTTTCAAGTTGCCAGGTCCAGGACTTTAACTGCTGTCAGCCATGAGGGAGTCCAGCGCCTTAATCACCATGCCACCATCTGGCAACCTGGCTCTTTTTTAAACAGGGTCTCTTGCTGTGTTGCCAGGTCAGCCTCAAGCTGGCAGTCCTCCTGCCTCTGCCTCCCCACATCACAGATTCCTGGAGCACATCACCACGCCTGGCCTTTGCACTGGACCAGGGATCGAATCCAAACTTCCCGTGTGGCCCCAGGCTGTAGCGCCCAGCCAGCAGCTTGTGCTACCACAGCAGGGCACAAGACACCCTGTGGGTGAGGACAGGGAGAGAAAATGAACTGCCCGAGACTTCAGTTAATACAGAGGCAGGCCTGAAGACAGCTCTCCCTCTAGCCACCACCAGCCTCCCAGCACTTGACATGCATTTCCTCAGTCATGGCCACCTGAGCTAGCGGTTCATTGGGGAAATATTTTGGCAAAGAAATTTTCTTTAATCAGAAGCACAATCACTGTCTATATTTGATCAGAATTTCTAATACTTCTGTGTTATTTTCCCAGATGCCCAGTGTGTTGTGGATATTTATGTCAACTACGACTGTGATTTAAATGCTGCTAACATTTTTGAGCGCCTTGTAAATGATTTATCAAAAATTGCTCAGGGAAGAAGTGGACACGAGCTGGGGATGACACCTCTGCAGGTAAAACCCCAAGAATGTTCAGCTGTGTTTAATGTCCGCTTAGTTCTGCTCCACCACATGCTGAGCAGTGCTGTCAGTGCTGGGGGTACAGCAGCAAACACACACACATGTGTATGCTGTGAGATGACTCGGACATGATTCCTGCCATTATACGTGATGGTAAGCACTGCAGAGAAGTACTGTGTGGGGACCTTGTGATGCTGAGTTCTTTTTCTTTTTCTTCTTCTTTTTTTTAATTTAGTCCTTTTCATTTCTTTTTCTTTTTCTTTTTTTTTTTTTTTTTTTTTGGAGAGACAGACACACTCCCATGTAGTCGACCAGGGTTCAAGTCCCAGACTTGGTGACTTAAACTCATGCCAGACGTGTGCATGCATGCCCAAGATCGTGAGAGGAGAATGGAGGAGAAGGGATTGTGGCGTGGCTACTCCCCCCAGGAAGTGATTTTTCACTTTCTGTCTCTCTCTCTCTCTCTATCTTTTTCTGGCAAGTGCACATGCCCTATAGCAAAAACCTCTCAGGAAAAAAAAAAATGGAAAAACCCAATCAAGTTACATGGTTCATTTTAGAAAACACATCCCCTTAGTTACTGCTGGGATGTTTGTAATAAACACCTTTAGAGAAATCCAGGGCTTTTGCAGTGTGCCCCTAATACTCAAGTCACCTACTGACTTTTCCATGGGCTTCATCTTTAATAACACCGAATATCAGCAATTCTCATATTCTCACAGTGTTGCCTCAGAGCCCTCATGATGCCTGTTAAGAGCTCTTAGTTTTTTGGTTAAGTCTCTGTATTGTGTCACTTTCATCCTTTAGGAGCTCAGTCTGAGGAAGAAAGGCCTGGAGTGCCTGGTGTCCATCCTCAAGTGCATGGTAGAATGGAGCAAAGACCTGTACGTGAACCCCAACCACCAGACCAGCCTTGGTGAGAGAGCGTTGCCTGCCCCTCTTCAAAATGGACTACTTCCGACCGTTAGGAAAAGTCATCTTGTCTTAGAATCAAGCAAAACACTTTAGTTTGCTAAACACCTATAGTATTTTAAAGGTTCTACCCTCTAATCCATTTGGAACTTTTGGAGAATAGTGGGGAGTTGTGCTTGAACGTCCATTTTCCTAAAGGAGAGCCAGTGCTAATGGTGTAAGTGGTGGTGTCTCCTTCCCTCACTGATTTGAAGCGTCACCTGTATGATATCCCAAATCCTCCTGTGTACCTAGGTCTGTATCGTGATTTGATTCTTTTGATTTGGACAAATACTAATTCTTATGCTGACCACACTTTTCAAATGATCACAGTCGAAGAATAGGTTTTAACATTTAGTAGGGCAAGCCCTTTCTACTTTAAGTCTCTTAATAATTTTTACATTTTTACTCTTTTCATGTTAATTGGAGAACTAGCTCATCCAGTTCCATGAAACAGTAGTTTTTAAGTAAACTATCCGAGTGATCGGAAGGTTTCTAGCCTGTGATCCCTCCAGGACAAGCTGTTGCTTCTGTACGTCTGGGGGCGGGTGTCTGTGGAGTGGCGCTGGCTCAGCCCTGTCCATGTCCCTTCTTATTTGGTCTCCTGTGCTTTTATGTCACTCAGGTCAGGAGCGGCTCATCGATCAGGAGATGGGGGATGGGAAAGGCCTCGACATGGCGAGACGGAGCAGCGTGACGTCCATGGAGTCCACAGTGTCCTCAGGGACCCAGACAGCCGTCCAGGATGACCCGGAGCAGTTTGAGGTCATCAAGCAACAAAAGGAAATCATTGAGCACGGCATCGAGCTGTGAGTGTGGCTGTGCTCTGGCAGGGTCTCCAGCGCTCTCGGCGAGAGGCACATCTCTAGGAACCTGGCACTGGCTCCTGAAGGGATATGCCTATTGGAAAGGCTGATGAAGGCATTTGCAGCTGAGCCTGAGTGAGCCGGGCAGAGCGGGTGTGTGCTTGTGTGCACATGTGAGAGGGAGACAACTAATACCTTGGCTTGGTCCATGTGACCTTTGTTCCTTTTCTGATGAAAAAGATTACACCAGTGCCTCAGCCTGAGAAGGGGAGGGATGTGGAACCCTGAGTGGAAGCAGGCGGTGGATTGAGAAGGAACAGACAGACTGACTGACAAGTAGAGAAAAGCAGGCATCAGGCGGACCAGGTGTTTGTCTTGGAGAAAGCCACAGCCCTGAGCTGTTCCCAGGTCTATTCTTTTATGTAGCAGTAGGGGAGGGAGAAGCTGAAGGGAAAGCCAGGCATTTTCTGTTGTCGAGCTGTGGAGCATCTGTGTCCCGTGGTTCTTGAGTCTCATGGCTCTGAACAAGGTTCCCTGGCCTTCTCTGGCTGACACTCAGCTTCCTTTAATTTATACTCCCCTGCAGTGCAATAGTAGATGATATCTTTGTTAGAGCTTCCGCTGGCCCTGCAGCGTCAGCACAAAGACCACATCTACTTTGGGAACCAGCAGTTAGCGTAATGGCTATGTCGCTGGACTCCCACGTAGTCTACCGCGGTTCGCGTCCCGGACCCAGTGGCTTAAAACTCATGCCTGGCGCATGTGCGTGCGTGCCCAAGATCCTGAGAGGAGAATGGAGGAAAAGGGATTGCGGCGTGACCATCCCCCCTGGGGGGTGATTTCTCGCTTTCTGTCTCTGTCTCTCTCTGTCTGTCTGGCGAGCGCACGCGCCCTATAGCAAAAACCTCTCAAAAAAAAAAAAAAAAAAAAAGACCACATCTACTTTAAAGGTCCCTAGTGCCTTGTCCAGGTCTGGCCACTCCCCACATACCAGTGTAGAAAATATAGAGAAGTATAAAGCAAGAATGTAAAATTCACTCATGGAATTAACTGCCTGGAGGCAACTGCCATTAGTAACATTTTTTCCGACTCTGTCTAATGAAGAATTTCAACATACAGAGAAATTAATTTATACCGTATTTGTTTTATCTATGTATGTATCTTAATGAATCATTTGAAAGTAATTTGTAGCCATTATGGTAATTTAGCCATACATCTTTGAAAAATAAGGACATTCTGCTAGTCTAACCACATTATTATCACCACAATCATTGGTAAATCTTTATTTCTTTCCAGCCTTTTGCACAGATAAGTATACACATTATCACATATCCTGTCCAACTTGTGAATGGTTAATTTAGTAAATTCAATACATAATGACAGTTGTAGAAGTTAAAGGTACAGTACTCACTTATTCATCATGGCATTGATCTTTTCATTTCTACTCTCAACACTCACCTTTCTCTGGGGTATTCTCTCCACAGCAACTAAAGTAATCTTTTAAAAACATAAATCAGCCCTTGTCACTCCCATGCCTAAAATCCTTCTAGGTTTCCTGTTCTGCTCCATGGAATCAATGGGAAAAAAACGGGAATGGCTCATTAGTAGAACAGTTAAAGCACATATATTTGTTGGGACCAGCAGATAGTTGGTCGTAATGGCATAATAGTTACATCGCTGTACTCCCACATTTTTGACTCTAGTTCGAGTCCCAGACCCAGCAGCTTAAAATTCACGTTGCACACGTGTGCATGCTTGCCCAAAATCCTGAGAAAAGAATGGAGGAGAAGGGATTGCAGCTGTGGCCATCTCCCCTGGGGGGGTGATTTGTCACTTTCTGTCTCTCCAGCAAGCACGTGTGCTCTATAACAAAAATCTCTAAAAAATTTTTTAAAACACACTTTTATCAATTAAGTGTGTCATCTTATGTGGATACAGTTTCTGATGTCCCAGAACAGTTCCAATGGTAACATCAGAGACCACTAATCACAGATCACAGAAGAGATACAGTGATAATGGAAGAGTTTCAGGAGTTGTGAGAACTGTGGCAATGAGATAGACACAAAGTAGCAAAAACGGGAACAGTGACACCAACAGACTTCCCCAACACTGGGCTGCTACAAACCTTCAATGTGTAAAAATGCTGTATCTTCAGGGCCAGCAGGTGGCTTGGTGGTTATGGTGCTGGACTCTCACATGGCCAACTGCAGTTCAAGTCCCAAATCCAGTGACTTAAAACTCACAGTGGGTGCATGTGGATGCGTGCCCAAGAAATGGAGGAGAAGGAATTGCAGCATGGCCAATCCCCTGGGGAATGATTTCTCTGTCTCTGTCTCTGTCTCTCTGGCAAGCATACACATCTTATAGCAAAAATCTCTCAAAAAAAAAAAAAATGCAGGGCTAACAGGTGTTATGGTGGTTAAGGGCACCCGACTCCCACATGGTCAACCATGACTTGAGCCCCAGACCTGGAGGCGTGCTTTCTCACTTTTTCTCTCTCTCACTCTGTCCCTCTCTGGCTAAAATAAATAAATAAATGAAGTTAAATGAAACAATTCTTAAAAAAAAAAAAAAAAAATGAACTGTCTCCAAAGCACATTGAAGTGAAGCACAATGAAACAAGGTCAGCCTGAATCCTGCTTCTTTTAAGGGTCTTTTCTAGAAGTACACATACCACTTCTGTTCGTCTCCTTGGCTGGAACTTTATCACATGGCCATACTTTATTTAATGAAGGCAGGGACATGCAGATTTTATTCCAGGTGGTTCTGTCCTCAGCTAACCCCCTGGTGTTCTCTAGAGAAAGGGAAATGGATGGGGAGGGGGGAATGCTGCCCCCAGAATCTGCTACAGCTGACTCAGAAATTCAGAAAAGCTACCAGGACAGAGTTTACTGGCTTAATGCGATGACCTGTTCATTGTATTCTATTGCAATTTACCTCAAATAACAACCTTTTCTGTCCTCCAGATTTTCAAATAAGCGACTTGTGTCCTATGTCTTATTGAAACAGATTCAACAAGAAACCGAAGAGGGGGATCCAGTTTCTTCAGGAGCAGGGCATGCTGGGAACATCAGTTGAAGACATTGCCCAGTTCCTGCACCAGGAGGAGCGCCTCGATTCTGTAAGATGGGGGGGTTAGCACTCACATGTGAGTTTTACCAGGTGATTCTGTGTCCTTACCAGCTGTGACCTTGAGCTTGGTGACCTTGAGTGCAGAGTTAATTGTCCACCCCCTGGTTACAGCAGTCGTGCTTATCTCTAACTAGTGTCCCATAATGCCTTTGATGATGGGGATAAGCTAGCCTCCTGACAGGTGATTGAGTTTTTGGTGGAACAGAGTCAGACTTAAAAGGGTCCCTCGATTGCTGGAAACTGTCCTGGATGTGCATCCCCTGAAAGTGCCCCATCATCCCCTCCGTCTTCTAGTCTTTTGCACTTCCTCCCTTCCTCCATCCAAGGCAGGATGGGCTGAATCTGGACTGGCTGGGTCAGTGGGCAGCTCAGGTAGTTCTTGGGTTTTCTAGCAGGCCGGCCTGATCTGGGCATTTCAAGCCCAGGCATTCTGGCCTTTCCCCATTTGGCTGGTGTCTCGCTGTGGGTTCCTGTTTGAATATTGCTAGATGTGAGTGAATGTGTGTGTTTCAGACCCAAGTGGGCGATTTTCTGGGAGACAGCACAAGGTTCAACAAGGAGGTGATGTATGCCTACGTGGACCAACTCGACTTCTGTGAGAAGGAGTTTGTCTCGGCCCTGCGGACCTTCCTAGAAGGTTTCCGCCTACCCGGAGAAGCCCAGAAGATTGACCGGTTAATGGAGAAGTTTGCTGCAAGATACATAGAGTGCAACCAAGGGTGAGCGCCACACCAGTCCCTTCCACACTCTCTTCTGGGCACCTCAGCACATCTGTGTTGGTTGGGGTTGGGTTTTAACCTTTCTAAGAACAGTTCCAATGGTAACATCAGAGACCACTAATCACAGATCACAGAAGAGATACAGTGATAATGGAAGAGTTTCAGGAGTTGTGAGAACTGTGGCAATGAGATAGACACAAAGTAGCAAAAACGGGAACAGTGACACCAACAGACTTCCCCAACACTGGGCTGCTACAAACCTTCAATGTGTAAAAATGCTGTATCTTCAGGGCCAGCAGGTGGCTTGGTGGTTATGGTGCTGGACTCTCACATGGCCAACTGCAGTTCAAGTCCCAAATCCAGTGACTTAAAACTCACAGTGGGTGCATGTGGATGCGTGCCCAAGAAATGGAGGAGAAGGAATTGCAGCATGGCCAATCCCCTGGGGAATGATTTCTCTGTCTCTGTCTCTGTCTCTCTGGCAAGCATACACATCTTATAGCAAAAATCTCTCAAAAAAAAAAAAAATGCAGGGCTAACAGGTGTTATGGTGGTTAAGGGCACCCGACTCCCACATGGTCAACCATGACTTGAGCCCCAGACCTGGAGGCGTGCTTTCTCACTTTTTCTCTCTCTCACTCTGTCCCTCTCTGGCTAAAATAAATAAATAAATGAAGTTAAATGAAACAATTCTTAAAAAAAAAAAAAAAAAATGAACTGTCTCCAAAGCACATTGAAGTGAAGCACAATGAAACAAGGTCAGCCTGAATCCTGCTTCTTTTAAGGGTCTTTTCTAGAAGTACACATACCACTTCTGTTCGTCTCCTTGGCTGGAACTTTATCACATGGCCATACTTTATTTAATGAAGGCAGGGACATGCAGATTTTATTCCAGGTGGTTCTGTCCTCAGCTAACCCCCTGGTGTTCTCTAGAGAAAGGGAAATGGATGGGGAGGGGGGAATGCTGCCCCCAGAATCTGCTACAGCTGACTCAGAAATTCAGAAAAGCTACCAGGACAGAGTTTACTGGCTTAATGCGATGACCTGTTCATTGTATTCTATTGCAATTTACCTCAAATAACAACCTTTTCTGTCCTCCAGATTTTCAAATAAGCGACTTGTGTCCTATGTCTTATTGAAACAGATTCAACAAGAAACCGAAGAGGGGGATCCAGTTTCTTCAGGAGCAGGGCATGCTGGGAACATCAGTTGAAGACATTGCCCAGTTCCTGCACCAGGAGGAGCGCCTCGATTCTGTAAGATGGGGGGGTTAGCACTCACATGTGAGTTTTACCAGGTGATTCTGTGTCCTTACCAGCTGTGACCTTGAGCTTGGTGACCTTGAGTGCAGAGTTAATTGTCCACCCCCTGGTTACAGCAGTCGTGCTTATCTCTAACTAGTGTCCCATAATGCCTTTGATGATGGGGATAAGCTAGCCTCCTGACAGGTGATTGAGTTTTTGGTGGAACAGAGTCAGACTTAAAAGGGTCCCTCGATTGCTGGAAACTGTCCTGGATGTGCATCCCCTGAAAGTGCCCCATCATCCCCTCCGTCTTCTAGTCTTTTGCACTTCCTCCCTTCCTCCATCCAAGGCAGGATGGGCTGAATCTGGACTGGCTGGGTCAGTGGGCAGCTCAGGTAGTTCTTGGGTTTTCTAGCAGGCCGGCCTGATCTGGGCATTTCAAGCCCAGGCATTCTGGCCTTTCCCCATTTGGCTGGTGTCTCGCTGTGGGTTCCTGTTTGAATATTGCTAGATGTGAGTGAATGTGTGTGTTTCAGACCCAAGTGGGCGATTTTCTGGGAGACAGCACAAGGTTCAACAAGGAGGTGATGTATGCCTACGTGGACCAACTCGACTTCTGTGAGAAGGAGTTTGTCTCGGCCCTGCGGACCTTCCTAGAAGGTTTCCGCCTACCCGGAGAAGCCCAGAAGATTGACCGGTTAATGGAGAAGTTTGCTGCAAGATACATAGAGTGCAACCAAGGGTGAGCGCCACACCAGTCCCTTCCACACTCTCTTCTGGGCACCTCAGCACATCTGTGTTGGTTGGGGTTGGGTTTTAACCTTTCTAAATCTGTGCCAAGCATCTAAAAGCATTGCTCTTTCCGTGCCAGGTACTGTGGTAAGGAACTCTCTCGTGTAAGATCTCACAGCAACCCCAGTTGTGTCCCCATGCTACAGATAAGGAATTTAGGACCAGAGAGATGAAGTGAATTGTCCAGGATCACACAGCTCAAGCCCATGCTATTAACTACTATAAAAGAATAGTTTTGGGGCCAATAAGTAGTAGTCCAGACCAGTTAAGGTGCTAGACTCCCACAAATTGGTTGACCACAGTTCGAGTCCCATACCCAGTGGCTTGGAACTCACACTGGGCACGTGTACATGTGTGCCCAAAATCCTGAGAGGAGAAGGGATTGCTATCCTCCCAGGAGGTGTTTTCTTACTTTCTCTCTCTCTCTCTCTCTCTGTCTCTCTGTGTCTCCAGCGAGTGCACGAACTCTATTACAAAAATCTCACTAAAAATAAAGAGTGGTTTTGAGTTGAGAGAAGGCAACTGAGCACCTCTTCCCTAGTCAAGAATGGCTCCCTTCTGTAACATACTGGGGTGATCTCAGGGTTCCAGCTTTTCTTTGATTATATATGAGGAGCAGTTTACAGAAATGGCTATGTAAATAATTAGGCCAAATTATGCAGTTTTTTCTTGGGGCCTTTTTTTTTGATGAGATTTGTAAATAAAAAAGGGGACTAGCCTTTGTTGAACACCTCTTGTGTGCCAGCCATGCTTGCCTCTTACGTGCATTTCCTCTCATTGATGGTGAGTTTGTGACTACTGTCCCTGGGCTACAGGTAAAGAAAATGAGTTTCTGGGAGACTTTTTTAAAAATAATTTTTTTTTTTATTTTATTTATTCATTCAATCATTTTCATTTGACTAGAGAGAAGAAAAGTGAGAAAGCAAGTCACCCGGTCCAGGACTCAAACCATGTGGAAGTGTTGGCCATGTGGAAGTGTCCAGAGCCTTAACCACCATGCCACCTGCTGGCCCTGGTTCTGGGAGATTGAGCAACCTTGTCAAAATTAATCAGTGAGGAAGTACCATAGGCAGGCTTGAACATGGAGTGTCTGCTTCAACAGTTGAGGCTGTCTAAACAGACTGGGAACATGGTGTGGGAGTTGTTCCATGCAACATTGACAGCAGTTTTCTCCGAGCTTCTTTGGTTCCTGTTAACTGGTCCTAACCCCTTGAGTGTGTGGCGGGCTGGCCCCCAGGAATGGCGTGATCAGCAGAGGCACGTCTGGCCACTTTCACCTGGAGGACATTGGAACTCTCTGTGAAGACATAAATAGATATCAGCGACTTTGAACTTATCTTCTCTGTGTACCGGGAGGCCTTGGTCTGTATTCCTTAGTCAGTAAATACATGACCAATTAAATCTCTGATATTACAATGTAGACTTCTTGTAGTCTTCATAATTTCTCCCTTTATATTGGGGGCAGTTTGGACAGAAATTTTTTCATTTTTTTAAAATAGTTCTTTTTTTTTTTAAATCTTATTTACTCACTTATTTTAATTTGACCAGAGAGGGACAAAGTGAGAGAGAGAGGGAGGGATGAGGAGGGAAGGAAAGTGAGAAAACACGCTACCAGATTTGGGACTCAAACTATGGTCGGCCATAAGGGAGTCCAGCGCCCTTAACCACCATGCCACCTGCCGGTCCCAGCAGGTGAATTTTTCTGACATCGGCCTCACATATTGTGAGACTGTGCATCTTCGTGTCTTTGTCTTCCTCTTCCTGCCCAAGGCAAAAAAGTGAGACTTCACTAGCATATCATTTAGAATAACATAAATATCTTCCTCTGTATTTCTGCTGTGAAATATTATAATGGGTGACATAAAGCGTGAGTAACAGCAGTGTTAGTTGTATTTATATCTGGTGCCTACCACGGTGCATGGCACAAAGTAGATGCTGTCAGAACAGGACTAGGGTGGGGCACCTGAGGCAGACCATAAGGAGGCACCACTCTTGGGGTTGGGCAGTTACCCTGAGTTGGGGCCTGACTGTCTTCTGACAGTCCTGTTCCCTTGATGTACCCTAATCTTAGCCCTGTATGCTTCTCAGGGTCTTTTTAAAAAATTAACTTGAGGGAGACCAGCAGTTAGCACAATGGCTATGTTGCTGAACTCCCATGTAGTCAACTGCAGTTCAAGTCCCAGATCTGGTGGCTTAAACTCATGCCAGGCACATGTGTGTGCTTGCCCAAGATCCCGAGAGGAGAATGGAGAAGGGATTGTAGCATGGCCATCCCCCCTGGGGGGTGATTTCTCGCTTTCTGTCTCTCTGTCTCTCTCTGTCTCTCAGTCGAATGCAAGCATTTGACTATAGCAAAAACTTCTGTTTTAAAAAAATTAACTTGAAATTGCTTCATTCAAGAAGCCTAGGGTCTGATACACTCTTTTTCCCCCCACTTTTTTTGCCATAAGATGATGCATGTGCTTGCTGGAGAGAGATGAAAGGAGACAGAGAGAGGAAAAGTGAGAAATCACCACCCGGGGGGATGGCCATGCTACAATCCACTTTCTTCTTGAGATTCCAGACATGTCTGCACATGCACCCAGCGTGACTTTCTCAAGTTGCCAGATATGGGACTGGATTTGTGGCTGGCCACGTAGGAGTCCAGCACCTTAACCACCTCGCCACTTCTTGGCCCCTGGCACACATTCGCGATGAGCTTTGTGCACACTCTGGTCGTTGACAATCGTCCAGTGGTGATGAAAGCATGGAAGCTCTGACTGCCTTGGTGTCACGGGAAGCAGTCAGCTTGCTTTTAGTGACATGTGTCTCCATTAGCATTGCAGCTTCCAAACCTCATTGCCACAGAGGTTCTTTATATCCGGAATCTTTTCTTCCAGGCAAACTCTGTTTGCAAGTGCCGACACTGCGTATGTCCTAGCATACTCCATTATCATGCTAACTACAGACTTGCATAGTCCTCAGGTAAAATATTTTAATAATTGATATAGTGTAGTATTAATAGCTAAACAAGTAGCTTTATTTGGGCAATTAGATGTTTTTAAAATGGCTTTTAATATTTTAAAATTTCAGGTAAAAAATAAAATGACAAAAGAGCAATATATTAAAATGAACCGTGGGATCAATGATAGTAAAGATCTACCAGAGGAATATCTCTCAAGCATCTATGAAGAGATAGAAGGCAAGAAAATTGCAATGAAAGAAACAAAAGAACATACAATCGCAACCAAATCCACTAAGCAGAGTAAGGTCTAATGGCAAATTCTGTTCTCATTTTGAGTGTGTCAGAATGCATGATTAAGTACTCTGGTGATGCATTTAATTTGCATATCTAGATATCTGAACAGGAAATGTGATTATATTAATTATTATAATTATGCTGGTTCTTTCAAAATACCACCGTCTTGCTGAAGTTGTGATTAGGAGCAAGAGGAAATTTAAAATAAATCATCTAAATTACCTCCAAAAATGTTCCTTCAAGCTTTGCTTTAATTCCAGTGGTGATTGTGCCAACCTTGATTAGAATCCCATTAGCTGAGGCACTGGGAAGCTGTCAGTTTCTCTGATTCAGAGGCAGTAGAGGGTAGTGGTTTAGTCCACAGTAGAGCCACACTGCCTTGGATCAAGTCCCAGCGCTGTTATTGGGTCATTGGAAAAGTCATGACACATTTTTGCGTAGTAAAGCATAAAAAGATATATCGTGACTTCCCTGACCTAGTACTTACTAGCTGTATGACCCCAGGCAAGTTACTTAACCGCTCTGCCTCATTTTTCCCATCTCTAAAATGGTAATATTTGTAACAAACTCACGAGGGGAGGATAGAGGATTTACGAGTTAACCAGTAAGAGTCTTTTGACACGGCTCCTGGAACATGGCAAGCCCTCAGTGAGCTCACTGCTGTGGTCCCACTCTCACTTCTTTGTAGGTGTAGCTAGTGAGAAGCAGAGACGGCTTCTCTACAATTTGGAGATGGAACAAATGGCCAAAACAGCGAAAGCTCTAATGGAAGCCGTGAGCCACGCCAAAGCACCGTTTACCAGCGCCACCCACTTGGACCACGTGCGACCGATGTTCAAAGTGAGTATCCCGGGAGGTTAGAGAGCACATGGCTGGGCCCGGTCCTGGAGGTTCTGGCTAGGAGCTGACTGGTGAGATTGCAGTGGTGAAGAGGTTACAGAGAGGCAAGGCCAGGTCTGGAGCTTCTGCTTGCACAGTTAACCAAGGCCAGTCCTGTCTGGACATCCTTTGATGATGGTGGGGCCGTGCCAGCACCACCTGTGGACTCTGCAGTCGGAACACGTGGGTGTGGTCTCTGCCGTCGGAATGTCTGCTGTGGACCCAGCCGTAGAGGTCCCTGTTGCTAAGAGGCTGTACTCCACGGGCCGAGACGACATGCGAGGCTTGGAGTTCGTTCCTCGTCCTACCAGGAGCCTGGCGTGGTACCACATGCCTTAATCCAGGTCCTCGGAGGCTGAGGAGTGCCTGGGCTTGAGTGCTGGCTTAGCCACTTTGTAGGTACCTGAGGTTGATCGTTTTACTCAACCTCTCTCTTCTGTAAAATAGAGGCAAAAAATTAGGGTTGTGAGGGCTGCCGATGTTATTGAATGAATTAATAACTATTCTGCAAAAGATAAAGTGACTGGGGGGAACATGTTACTTCAGTGTCCTCAGAGTTAGTTTATGAGATAAGAGTAGGTGGAGAAAAGATGATAGCCCGAGGTCACTCTATTTTTAAAATGTCTCAAAAATATATATGTTCTATGTATTGAGTCATTGGAAAAGTCATGTCTTATTTTTTTGTGCAAAAATGCATTATGACTTTTCTGACTACCTAATACATGGCTTATCACTTTTCTCTTAAGATGTTTTTATAGTAACTGTCAATATCCTGTTAGGTGATTCATTTTAGATTTTTGTGACCTTTTATTTCCAAGGAATTTACCAAAAAAATAAGAAAGAAAATAAAATCTCAATATTTTGATTAGGAATATTTCAGTAAACTAAGTTATAGAATGTTAAGTCGCATGTAGGTTTTATTTTGCATGCCAACCTGTGGGTGGTAATAGCAACCTGAGGCACTGTGTAAAAGGATTCTCGAGCCCCATACAGATTCCTAGCAGGATATGGGCTCTTCTGTGACCTATTAGTGATGTCAGCCGTGGGCATGGTTGATGCAGTTGTGGTACACTAGCCCCATCTTGTCCGCCCTTCCTTTGAACCATTTGTTTAGTAAATAGCACATCTAGAGTGATACCTTTGACCATGGCTTGGGGTAGCTATTATATTTAATAAAGGAATAGATTGAAATCAAACTAGCAGTGAGTTTGGCATACTGGCTGTCCCCCTAAGTGTGGCTTCTAAGTGCTCTTTCCC